CTAGTACACATCTCAGTTCCTGTACATTCAATTCATAGAATCATAGAACTGGAAGGGACCTTGAGAGGTCATCAAGTCCAGTCCCCTGCCCTCGCAACAGGACCTAGCACCACCCAGGTCATCCCTGGGCAATTTATTCCAGTGTTTCACCACCCTGACAGTTAGGAACTTTTTCCTAATGCCCAACCTAAACCTGCCTTGCTGCAATTTAAGCCCATTGCTTCTTGTCCTATCTTCAGAGGCCAAGGAGAACAAATTTGCTCCCTCTTCCTTGTAACACCCTTTTAGACACTTGAAAACCGCTATCATGTCCCCTCTCAGTCTTCTCTTTTCCAAATTAAACAAGCCCAATTCTTTCAGTCTTCCCTCATAGGTCATGTTTTCTAGACTTTTAATCATTTTTGGTGCTTTTCTCTGGACCCCCTCCAATTTCTCCACATCTTTCTTGAAATGTGGTGCCCAGAACTGGACACAATACTCTAACTGAGGACTAACCAGCGCAGAGTAGAGCGGAAGAATGACTTCTCATGTCTTGCTCACAGCACACCTGTTAATACACCCCAGAATCATGTTTGCTTTCTTTGCAACAGCATCACACTGCTGACTCATATTTAACTTGTGGTCCACTATAACCCCTGGATCCCTTTCTGCCGTACTCCTTCCCAGACCATCGCTTCCCATTCTGTATGTGTGAAACTGATTGTTCCTTCCTAAGTGGAGCACTTTGCATTTGTCCTTATTAAACTTCATCCTATTTATCTCAGACCATTTCTCCAATTTGTCCAGGTCATTTTGAATTATGACCCTATCCTCAAGATTAGTCGCGATCCCTCCCAGCTTGGTATCATCTGCAAACTTAATAAGCGTACTTTCTATACCAATATCTAAATTGTTGATGAAGATATTGAACAGAGCCATTCCCAAAACAGACCCCTGCAGAACCCCACTTCTTATGCCTTTCCTGCAGGATTGTGAACCATTAATAATATTTACCCAACCTTTACTCCAGATCACTCTGTCTGAATTTAAGCCCAGGATGTAATTTTTTCCCCACATCTTGTGCATGCAGCCTGGAATATGTCCCACTTATCCTGGGAGTTACAAGGAGGAGGGAGAAAAATTAACTTCTAGTGATAGGACAAGAAGCAATGGGCTTAACTTGCAGCAAGGGAGGATTAGGTTGGACATTAGGAAAAACTTCCTACCTGTCAGGGTGGTGAAACACTGGAATAAATTGCCTAGGGAGGTTGTGGAATCTCCATCACTGGAGATATTTAAAAGCAGGTTCAGTAAACATCTATCAGGGATAATCTAAACAGCGCTTGGTCCTGTCATGAGTGCAGGGGACTGGACTCAATGACCTCTTGACGTCCCTTCCAGTCCTAGTGCTCTAGGATTCCATTTTACCTCTGGCTCATTCTCTTGTTCTTACATAACCTTGTGTGGGCAAAGCCCCACTTTGTCAGATGCTTATGCCCAAACAAATCTGTTATTCTTTAAGGTGCCACGGGACTCCTCATAGCTGTGGCGGATTCATGGCCATCCCTCTGCCTCTTGCCGGTGGAACCTGAGGATAACGTGGCAGTGATACAGGGGCAAGCCACAGTCCCTCTCAACCATGCTACACTGTGACAAGGTGCAGTGCAAGGAAGGGGGGACCCACACCTACCCTCTAGTCTGGGTCCAAACCCAGGAACCCTCTGACGGCAGCTATTTGCAGCCCTCCTTCACTCCCCTTGTCTGCCAATATTCCCTGGGCTACTTCCCTGGAGCCCTTGCACCTTCTTAGCCCATTGTAACAGGGGCCAGAGCCTGAGAGGTGTCAGAGTTTAGCTTCCTTCTCTCTGCTCCCCTGAGCCCGCCCAGCACTGCTCCATCCAAGATGCTGTGTCTTCCCTGGGAACTAGTCCTGCATCCTCGCTGGTCAGGGCCCAACTGGCTTCTGCCCTGCTGAGCAGTTCTTTATATCTGAGTTGCCCCAGCAAGCTGCCTCCTCATTGGCTCCTAATAAGCCTATCCCTTATTGGCTGGGTTCTTTCTAGCCTGTTTTAACCCCTCATCTTCCAAAGTGGGGCAACTGCCCCACTACAGATACAAATATTTAATGATGACAAGATTGCTGTTTCCAATACAGATGATCCCTCCAGGTCACAGCTGAAGCACATTTGCAGAGATGGAAGTAGAGACTCTTAGAGCTCTACAAATCTGTAGGTAGACTGTTTATATCCACGTATCATGTTTGTGGATCATGGATCGGAGGTGGATACAAATTTTGTATCTGTGCAGGGCTCTAGAGATACTTACTCTGCTGTTGCCCATACTTCAGGCTTAGCACTTCACTGTCCAAGCCTCTCTAACCGTCCTTGTTCACCAGCATTAAGCATTTCATTTATTAATATTTACATGACATAACATTTTAGAAGCTGGAAGTGCACTTTACCCATTCTCTTTTCAGTAGGTTCTGGGGCAGCCAGAAAGTCCCTTAGGCAATGTTTTTCCTGAATTAATAATAAAGTCTAGCAGGCACCTGGAGTTTCCTACAAACAAACCTAAGAGTTCTTTAATCTATTGTTTTCCTTGCATCCAGCTGTGCCCAGAGTTCTGTTTGCATGGTCGCTCTGTCCCTTCACATATTGAGCCAGTGACTTGGTGCTAATGAAAAGTATTGTTCTTTATGCCAAGAGGGGAAATTCCACAGAGATGGGTGTAAAGATTATTATCCAGCTTTCTAAGGCCATCCTTCAGCGTCCTTCTTGCTCTTTACATTCCAGAATTTTTCCATCAGGCTTTACAGGTTTTAACTGGCAGGCAAAGGTGGGAATTTTTCGCTCCTGGGGGAATAAATGAGCAAATTCTTAAAGCTACAAATATTTTAAATAAGCTAGGGGAAATGGGATGAAAATCTGAGAAGTATGTTTCCGTTCTTCTTTCTTTAAAACCAAATTATTGTTCAAACACATTATTGTGTAATTATTGTTACACAGCAGGAGCAACACATTTATTAGAGATATATAGTAGAGGGCTCAAGGGATATTTCAGGGTGCTCATTGGTTCAGAATAACAGTTGATTTTGGAATGAATACAATGACAATCCTTTCAGTTGAACGGCTGGTACGTATCCCTTAAGGATCCTGGAACCGTTGGTGCTCCCAGCAAAAAAACGATCATTACAGAAGCTCAAAAGCTAATATTATTGATACTTGGACTGCCTTTCTAGTTTTGAAAGGATTAAGGGCAGTTAGCTTAGCTCTATGGACCATCACCAGGTGTATCACCCAGTTGCCAGGGGCTTGTTGGGTCTGGAACCCTGACATCTGTATTCAATCTGTATAATTGATTGACTAGTTGTGAGTCACCTTATCTAATCATTTCCAATGTTTTTAAGGCTGACTGGTTTATTCACATTGTTGCCACAGGAATCATAGAATCCAAGAGCTGGAAGAGACCTCAGGAGTCATCGAGTCCAGCCCCCTGCCCAAAGCAGGACCAACCCCAACTCAATCATCCCAGCCAGGGCTTTGTCAAACCGGGACTTAAAAACCTCTAGGGGTGGAGATTCTAACACCTCCCTAAGTAACCCAGTCCAGTGCTTCCCAACCCTCCTAATGAAATAGTTTTTCCTAATATCCAACCTAGACCTCCACCATTGTAATTTGAGACCATTGTTCCTTGTTCTGCCATCCATCACTATGAGACCAGCCTCTCTCCATCCTCTTTGGAACCTCCCTTCAGGAAGTTGAAGGCTGCTATCAAATCCCCCCTCACTCTTCTCTTCTGCAGACTAAATAAACCCAAATCTCTCAGCCTCTCCTCGTAGGTCATGTGCTCCAGACCCCAAATTGTTTTGGTCGCCCTCCGCTGGACCCTCTCCAATGCATCCACATGTTTTCTATTGTGGGGAGCCCAGAACGGGACACAATACTCCAGATGTGGTCTCACCAGTGCCGAATAAAGGGGAATAATCACTTCTCTAGATCTGCTGGAAATGCTCCTCCTAATGCACCCTAATATGCAGGGGTAGTCCGTGACTATAGGCCAACTCAGCCGTCGTCTAGGGCACCACCTTCAATGGGGTGCCCGATGATGACATCACTCCGTTGACATCCGTGCAGGAGGGGGCGTCGATCGTGCATTCTGCCTGGGGCGTCAGCTGCCGCAGCCCGCCTCAGGCCACTCCTGATAATATGCCATTAGCCTTCTTGGCTACCAGGGCATACTGTTGACTCCTATCCAGCTTCTCATCCACTATAATCGCCAGGTCCTTTTCTGCTGAACTGCTACTTAGTCAGTCTGTCCCAGCCTGTAACTATGCTTGGGATTCTTCCGTCCCAAGTGCAGGACTCTGCACTTGTCCTTGTTGCACCACATCAGATTTCTTTTGGCCCAATCCTCCAATTTGTCTAGGTCATTCTGGACCCTATCTCTGCCCTTCTGCATATCTACCTCTCCCCCTACCTTAGTGTCATCTGCAAATTGCTGGAAGTAGTCACAGAGTCAAGCATAGTGACCCGAAGTGAGATTAACTGAGCTTGTCAACATTGGTTGAATTTCTATGAAATTTTTCATAGGAAAAACGTAATTCTGATAGGGAAAATATCAACTGATTTGTGTGCGGTTTCTCATTGACTCTATAGCTGGCTGAAAATTTCCAGCTTTTTCTTTTTAATCCTTACAAAAATTTAAAAAAATCAAAAAATGGCTGTGCAAATTGTCATGATTTTTTCTATTGGCTTTATATATTATTGACAATATTATTACTTCTTTCCACCTTGGTTCTGGGTACCAATGCACCATGCCTTCCTCTAAGAAATGCAACCCTAGGAAACTAAAACGTTAGAGGGAAGCTATTTTTTCTTTTGTATGTAGAATATGAAAATGCAGCAAGAAGTGGGGAGACTAAGAGTCTCTTTTCGTAGGCATTAGCTAACGACTGATGCTCTGCTGACCTGTGTTTGCTGTATGCATGTAAGGTACTAAACTGTGCTTTGATTGTACTGCAGTATCAGAGGGGCAAAGCTTCCTTATTAAGAACATCCGGCTGGAAAAGTGCATGCAAGTCACCCACCGTGACAGCGACCAGATCAGCCTGGCTGATTGCAAACTGCACTCCCAGCAACAGCAGTGGAGGTGGGACCCCAGCACAAAGTCTATCGTCAGCCTTAAAACCAAACAGTGCCTGACTGCTCACAAGCCACAGGCGTTGACAGCCGCCCACCTGGAGCCATGTGGGAACAGGGAGCGCCAAACATGGGCTTGCAGCAAGAAGGGACACGTGACCTTGCACGGCCTGGGCTTGCATCTTAACGTGAAGCAAGGCCACACGGTCGTTGTGTCCCGGGAGAAAGATAAGTTCAGCAAGTGGAAGACCTTGTCAGATGAAACCATCTGTGCTGTCAACCCCACGGCGGCTCCCTGGAATGGCAACCTCACGGCGGAAGCTGCAGATGCATCGATGTGGGTTCATGAAAGTAAGAAGTGGATGTAACATTAGCGACCCACTTAACTTTTGGGATCCATCACCTAGAATCCATCTAACACCTGCGCTTAACAGGCTTGTAGCTCACGCAAATTCATTCTCATACATGATTGTTCCGACCCTCATCCTGTGGGATACTGAGGAGCTCTAGCAACATCCCAAACATCCTCAGCTAACCACTAATATCAGTGGGAAATGACAGTTGCTGAGCCCCACACAAGAGGTGGTGCTATATCTCTCCATATATATTTTAGATTGTTTGAGCATCTATCTGTCCGTCTGTCTGTGAGTCGGTTTGCTCAAGAACTCCTCCTAAACGGTAAAAGCTCGGACCACCAAATTTAGTTCGCAGCTTCCTCTTTCTCTAACTTAAAGCACGGTCAAGGTTTGGGTGGTGCCAGGATAATGGGATGTGCCTGAAATCCGATTGTTTTCCACAACACGGAAAGGGAAGGGTCTGATAGGAGGGACAGTTATGCTCCGCAGTGACCAGAGCAGGCAGCAAACGGGGGACAATTATACTGAATAGCGACCAGAGAGGGGCAGTCACACCAGGAAGAGCTGAGACAGAAGCTCTCCATATTGCTGGTCACTGGCCCAGATAAGTAGACATCTGACATATTTGGTGTGCATTGCCGTGATAAAATACTGGACTGTTCCTGGCACTTCTACCAGGAATCAAACAGTTTCTTGCTCAGAAATCTCCAAGGTACTCAGAGTTAGAAGATGAAAACTGGATTTTGGATGTGGCTTTTCTCATTGACATCACTGTTCACCTGAACAAGTTGAATGACATGTTGCAGGAGGGGAAATCAACTCTTGCCTACACTAATTGCTAGCATCAGAAAATTCATGCTACACCTGAAGTTAATGTCAGCTCAGTTTTAAAAAAAAGAAATGAAGGCTCAGGTTCCATGATTCTACATACTGGAACTTTAAGAAAAACACCAGCAATCGCAAGACGTGTGAGGAAATTGAAAGAACCGGCAATGCTGTTGGGAGATTTTTCTTTTTGTTTTCAAACAAAGTGTAACCTCCTGGCTATGAGTTCATAGCTCTGCTGCCCTGGTTCTACCTGCAGGAGCTGGGAAGTGCAGCTCCTGCAGTAGACAGAGTTAATTTCTAGGAAGGAGAAACTAGTGTGGAATCCAGGGCCAACCTGCAAAAAAACTAGAAAAATCCTTTTGCGTCCCTTGGCATCACCATTCTTATTAGAGACTGGGGGGGTAATGTGGTCTACTGGCCTGAGCACAGGTGTGAGAAGCAGGAACACCTTGGTTCTAAATTTGACTCTGCTCTGGTACCTTTGGGCCAGTCACTTCTCTTCCCTGTGCTTCCATTTCCTCATCTGTAAAATGGGAGCTACGCTTTTAAGTGACCGTTGCCATCTTAGTCAGAGAGGTTAAAACAGGTTAGACAAACATCTGTCGGGATAGTCTATCTAATACTTCGTCCTGCCACAGGGCAGGGGACTGGACTGAATGGCCTCTCTGGGTCCCATCCCGACCTACATTTCTATGATTCTATACTTTCACTAGTTCCAGTGTCTAAACTCTAGGGCTGTGTCTACACTGGGCCACTTATTCCGGAAAATCAGCCGCTTTTCCGGAATAAGCTGCGAGCTGTCTACACTGGCCCCTTGAATTTCCAGAAAAGCAATGACGATCTACTGTAAGAAATCAGCTGCTTTTCCGGAAAAACTATGCTGCTCTCACTCAGGCAAAAGTCCTTTTTCCAGAAAACTGTTCTGGAAAAGGGCCAGTGTAGACAGCCCAGTTGTCTTTTCAGGTTTACCGGGGAGGTCGATAAAGGGCTTTCATGTCGACAGGGGAGTGTCCAGACTGCCCCGATCTGCCGACAAACAGCTGATCGGCAAAGCGGGGCAGCCATTTACATTTAAATGAAGCCACGATTATTTAAATCGCGGCTTCATTTCCCTTTGCCAAACAAACAAATCTACATGGCCATGTAGTCTAGACGTACCCTAACTGTAAAAACAACAAGTAGTCTTGTGACATCTTAGGATACGTCTAGACTGCATGGCTCCGTCAACGGAGCCATGTAAAATAGTTTACTTGGCATAGTCAAAGAAACGGGGATTTAAATAACCCCCGCTTCATTAAAATAAAAATGGCCACCGCGCTGTGCCACTCAGCTGATTGTCGGCACAGCGCGGCAGTCAAGACACAGATCGTTCGGCAAGGAAAGCCTTTGCTGACTGATCCTGTAAACCTCGTTTCATGAGGCATAAGGAATCGGTCGACAAAGGTGTTCCCTGCCAACTGATCCGCATCTTGGCTGCCGCGCTGTGCTGACAATCAACTGAGCCGGCACAGTGCAGCAGCCATTTTTATTTTAATGAAGCGGGGTTTATTTAAATCCCCGCTTCATTGACTATGTCAGGTAGTCTAATTTACATGCCTCTGTCGCCAGAGGCATGTAGTCTACACAGCAGGGCAAAAGTCAAATTAAGCCACACAGCTTGAGCTACGTCAATTGTGTAGCTTAAGTTGAAATAGCTTGATTTGTCTTGATTTGTCACCATCCAATCAGATTCATCCCTCCTTTCAACCCGTCTAGGTTATAAACTGGGAGGTGAGCTCATGATAAGAACTTTTCCCTTACAAAGTTGTCAACACCTGGAGCTCACATTTGTTCCTGACTCTTCTGTTCCGAAGACCAGAAAAGGATCAGGACATGCAGTGAATTGTACAGTGCTCTCTGTAAGTGGTCCATGTACTGTACTGGGATTTCCATCGCTTCCCTCAGGGGCATTATTTCACCCTTGCAAAGATTTTACTGATATTGAAGCTTCACTCTTCTCTTGGGTTGTTCGAATTGCTTGATAAATTAGTCCCTTGCTTCCCACAAGCCACAAGCCAAAATTTAGAGCCACTGGGCACCCCCAGCTTTTCATTCAGACGATGAAGCAGTCACTCCTGGAGTGCAGGTCTCCTTTTATTCCTTACACTGTTGGGTGTAACAGCGTCACTCCTGGTTACACACACACACACACACACACACACACACACACACAAACACACACACACACACATTGCACCTCCACTCCTGCAGAAGTCTAGTGGACCGACTGCATCTCAGAGGACCTCCTCTACTTCTGCTACCCAATGTAGACTGACAGCATCACGATCAGGAGAAGGGAACTCTGATTTGCTGCTGTCGTTAAGGATGTATCCTTACACTGCCACAGGCAGCATGCTAGTCCTATAGCCCCAGAGCACCTAAATAACTTCCCTGGTCTTTGTTACTTAATGCTTTCGGCTTCCTAATCGCCAGCGTTTGATAACCAAAAAGCTTGTGCCTAATTCATTTGTCAATTTTTCATTTATTTGGCCATGGCCACTCATTTAACATGGCAGGAAGGGGCGGGTGTATCTCAGCTCTGACTCCACCTGAATCCTCCGTCGTGTTTTTAACCGTTTGTTTGTATAGCACCCGTCCTCTTTAGACTAGATAGTCCTTGGAACGGGGACCTTGTTGAACCACGGATCAAAATCTGCCCTGTCTACCAGGCTGATCGTGCAAGGTGCTGAACACTCCCCGTCGCGTTTGATATCCATGCAAATTGAGGGCCACACCGGATCCGGCCATTGCCTACCACACAATCCAAATTGGGGGGCTGCAGGAGCAATCAGCCAGGGCAGGCTTTGTCCCCATGTGGTTTGCCGAGGGCCAAGCAGGTGCTGCATAGTGAATAAACAATAACCGTCGACAACTTTGTTTTTTTCTTTCTAAGCTAAAACCATCAGTACCTCAGCAAAGGTCCACACCAGTTCTAGGGGCTCTGCCCTGGAGTACCCTGCCTTCACGCTGGCTGAGTTTAACAGCACGGTGCCTCTGCCACAGAGCAATCAGATGACTCCAGCAACAGAGAAGGGTGGGTACTCTGTCTTCCTGAACGCACGTGTCCAAAAAGCAGCAGCAGCTTAGTGTGGTGGCCTCGGCACACGAGCACGGCCCTGTCACGTCTCACCGCTGTGAGGCTTGCCTCAGCAATGGGTAGCGGTGCACTGATGAGGATCTGTGGCTGCCCCACAGGTGCTACAGTTAGAGCTAGAGCAGCATGCAGGCATTCTTGGTGCTACAGCAGGGCCCCTGTGCTCTTCCCCATCTGAGAGCAAGGGCAAACCCAGCCACTAAAGGGTAGTCCTTGGCTATGTCTACACTCACGGCTTCTTGCGCGAGTAATATGCAAATGAGGCTAAGCGTGGACTATCGCTGAGGCTCATTTGCATACCTAATGAGCCACCATTTTTTTTCAGAAGAGGCTCTTGCGCATGAAGAAGCGTCTGCACTGCCCCTTCTTGCGCAAGAAAAACCCTCTTGCGCAATGCTGTTACACCTATTACTTGAGTAAGAGCCTCTTCTGAAAAAAAGGTGGCTCATTAGGTATGCAAATGAGGCTCAGCGATATTCCATGCTTAGCCTCATTTGCATATTACTCGTGCAAGAAGCCGCAAGTGTAGACAAAGCCCTAAAGAGGAAGGATAATGCAGCACAATGTGCCCCCTCTGTTTGTCAAGACAGCCTCCTAATACGTGCCTCTCTGCTCCTTCGCCCCTGCAGAGATGACTGCCCAGTTTAGATCTCAACCTGGACACCGAGGGAAAAATGCTGGGGCCAGGCCTGTAGGTATGTTGGGAAAAAAATGGGAAAAGGGAAAAGATAGGGTGGAGTGAGGGTTGCCAATTTCCTTCCTTTCCCTGCAAACAGGAAAGTGTTCCTGTGGGATGTGCCCTTACTCCGTGCCCACCAGTGCTGTCTGATGCTGCACTCCACACTTCATTCAACTGACTGCAGTATGTCCTAGGGGAGACATTCCTCCTGGGGATCACCTGTACTGCCGGCTTGCGAGTGTTGCCATGGCTGAGCACTGAAGCCCATTCCACCCTGAACTTAGTGCTGGTATCGAACGGCCATTGTCCCTTGCCCTGCCACCCCTTGCATCCTGAAACTTCGGTTGCAGGGCAGAGAATTCTGAATATTTGTTATCCTCTGAGAAAGGGAAGGGAGGAACCTGCAAAGAATAGGCTGTAAAAATGCAGCCATGATAATATGGCAAAGCTGGCACCTGACCTTATGAACAAGGAGTGCACAAAGTAAGTCATCTCCCCCACCTACATCCTCTGCTACTTTTGATGGGCTGGAACGGCTCATTTTAGTTTGGAACAATGTTACAGGTGTCTGTCTTGAAAGAATAACACAGGAAAATGTTGTGTGATTATGCAATTTGGTTCCATTCCAGCCACCAACTGGAAGACAGCCATGCTGGTCCTCAGCCCCCTGGCATTTATACTGGGGCTGATCATACTGACGCTGAACGTTCGTTACAACAAGTAAGTGCAATGAAGTTTCTCCCTTAGCTGCTTTACTGTTGTCACAGCTCTGCAGTTAAAGGCCTGGATGCCACAAGGGTACTAGCATGTCAACCTCCAGGCCACAGGCAGGCTCTTGCCACATCCTGTTACTATGTCTAGAGCCCTGCATACCCATGAAGATCCACATCATATCTGCAGATAGTGGAGAGGATACCCATGCAAGGCTCTGCCCACCACCCTGCAAGGGGGGTGTCAGGGCAGGGAAAGGATGCAAGAAGCTGCATCCTAAATCTCCTTGCAGGATGGCCCAAGTGCCATCCCTGCCTGGCCTCCCTTCCTCCTTCTGCCCTCACCTAGTAAGCACTGACCTGCAGAGCTCCTGGCACACTGTTAAAAAGGACAGCAGCCTCTACCAGTGTGGGTATTCAATAAGTAGCTCCAGATACGCCCCTTCCCCTGCCCTCTTTCTGTATCTAGGATCAGAAATGGCAGCACTCAAGAGACTAATAATAAAATAGAACGTGACAACCCGCCTACTTACACACACACACACACACACTCTCTCCGCACTGCTGCCTACCTCTTCCCTGCACGACCCTGCCCCTTCCTTGCTCATCTGTGATCCTTCCCCCTCTCTCCTCCAGATTTCTTGTGCGGATGCAAGTAAAATCTGTAGCACGGATTGTGGATCGGATGGGGAGTTGAGCTTGGCGGAAGCGGATCCACATTTTTGTATCCGTGCAGGGCTCTCTGTTCCCTCCCCTTCCCACCTCCAAAAGTTTTGTCCGTGTTCTGGTCATCTATTCCCCTTTGACTGCAGTAGACCCTCGGAGTTTCGAACATGTCAGGAATGGAGGATGTTTGGAACTCTGGACAAAACATTTGGGTGTTCTTTCAAAATATTTCAGCTGAACAAGTGACTTAATACAGCTTTGAGACTTTACTGTGCAGAAGGAAAATGCCACTTTTTACCATCTTAAATGAAACACGCCCAAAAGTTTTTTGCCTGGTCAAATCTCTTTTGAATCTACTGAAAAATAAAGGGAAAGTTTAACAGGGTCTCATACTGCTTTGGCTTTTGGTTGTCTCTGCTGCTGCCTGATTTCATACTTCTGCTTCTGAATGAGCTGTGTGGTTAACTGGTCAGTTTGTAACTCTGGGGTTTGTAACTCTGAGGTTGCTGCAATGGTGGTCAACCCGCGGCTTGCAGGAATATGAGGGAAAGGGTGGGGAGAGGGTGGGACCTGGAGGGTCCAGCAGCCCCAGGCAAATGAGGATTGACGTGTATTTAAAGAAAGGACACGTGTGAGAAGCATCCGGATTGCACACAACATTGTGAGAGCCATGCGCTCCCTTCCCTTGTTACTTTTGCCAGTCATTTAATTTGCCCCTCATCATGAATCACTTTGTGCTGAAAAGGCATGATAAAGAAAAAGCAAGTGCAAAACCAAAAAACGTAGTAGTAGCAGCCAAAAAAAAAGGGAAGTCATTGACGAGGACAGGATGGCAAAAGAAAGTTCGGAGCAAGATGATTTTGTTACTGAACAGATGAGGCAGCCATTTTGTTTAATTTGCACCAAGGTGACATTGGTTCCAAAAAATACATTAGCAGACATTATGAAACCCGCCATTCTACTCTCAGCAAAATTTCCAGTAGTTTCTGCCACTGTGCTTGATAGCTTTCCAAGCTGAAGGAAGTCCTAGAAATGCAGAAGTGGCTACTTAAACAAGCATTAGATGAGAGTGACACAGTGACATTGGCTAACTGTTGTACTGCTTGGTTGCTTGCAAAAAAAGGAAAGCCATTCTCAGATGGCGAGCGGGTGAAACAACGAATCATTGAATCCTCAGAGGTTTCATTGGATGGGTTTAAAAACCAAGTGTTCAAAGTGCAAGATGAACTTGCAAAGTGCAAAACAGAGCTGCTCATCTGTCAGAGCAGCTTTTCAGAACTGTACATTCCAGTGTAACTAACAGGGTAGTGCTGGAATACAAAAATATTAATGGTCTTGCTCAGCTCTGCATATGGGTTCGTTGTGTTGACAGTGACCTGAATGTGACAGAAGAATGTTTAGATCTCACAGGAATACACGGGCAAGCACAGGGCTCAGCATTTTTTTGCAGCATTTACCAATTATTTCAAAGAGCATGAGCTACCCTTTGGAAAAAATTGTATCAGTTACAAGTACAACTGATAGGTGCCCCTCCCTGTCAGGAAAACACCGTGGATTTGTGGGTTTGGTGAAAGCTTGTGTATAGGACATCTTCTCCCATTTTAATCACATTATACCCAAAAGGGGGTGATCTGCATGAGAAACTTGCTGCTGCTGCCATCCACATCCTACTTGTATGGATAAAGGCATTCACCCTCCAGGACTACTGATCCAGCAGTACGTTCAAATGGGAAAGCAAGTAGTAGACAGACCCCATTACTAAATGTGATGGGAAGGGCCTTGTTCACCTCGGATATAAATGACATTTGAAGTGAAATAATTGATTTTTTTGGTCCCGCTTTTTTCATCCTTCTAGGAAGAAGAAGCTCCTGTCTGCTTTGAAGAGCTACCCAGAGAGCTGTGGTAGAGCTGGCTTACAGGAGCAATCTCCATTAACAGTGACGGCAGGAAGCTGGCCACGCAGCATTGCAGCCTCTCATGCCCCTTCCTTGCAGCACGGGGAAATACTGATTGAGTGGAAGGATGGGACCATCACGCCCCTTTTTGATCATGCTAACTTTTAGATGGGCTACCTCAGAAGTCACTGAGCCCACTGCTTCTATGCTGTAGTGCTCTCTGATAAGATACTTCCACTGGGAACAAATAGCTTAATGTTTTATTAGGAACCAACACACACTGCTTAACACTTCAGAACAATTGCGTGATGCGACACAAAGTTGTAGCAGGCAGAGCAGATTGTGTTATGTTTGTGGTGCTTAAACTTTCTCAAGGGTTCTGATTGATTCTGTAAGGAGATCTATATGTAACCACAAAGTGCCTTTGCTGGTTGCTAACTTTCCTCTGAGTCACATGGAAAGGTGAATAAACCAAACTCGGTAGGGTTAGTTTTGACTTCAAAGTAGAAAATTGGATTCCCAAGCCAGCTACAGAGTGCTCTTAAAAAAATCCTCAGTGATTTTGGCCATAAGAGAATCTGTGACTTATCAGCTCCACCATCAGCAGCCAAAAGCAAAATGACTGTCCCTGACATTCTCCAGCCATTTGCTGAAGTTTCCCCTCCCTAAAATACAGATTCTGTAAGAAAAGTTTTTTTTAAATAAAAAGACTTTGTATTCTACATTTTCATCCTGCAAAACAGCTGATGGCCGCACAGCTGACTCACCAAGAGTTTTATATTCCTGGTACACAACTCCACAGCACTCCAAATCATAAAGCAATTATTGAATGCAACATATGCAGTGCCATTAAGATGCAGCTACCAACCTTGGCTTCAGCTAATAAAATGTTTTGTTTTGGCCAATGGCTGTTCATTACTGTTGACTGGGTAGAAAGGTTACTTGAAAATGGCTCTATATTTTTGTTTTATATTCTTGCACTTAAAGCAATACCATATTTTTTACTTTGTTGATTAGGCAGAAGCTGAAAACAACAATGAAAATACGACTGTGAAACAGAACACATTGTTAGGTATTTTCTCTCTTGCTTGCTTACTGATTGCTGTTTTCAATCTTGCATCTTTATTGTTCTGAACGTTACTTACACAAACACCCTCCCTGCTTGCTCTCCGTCACTCCCTGGCATCACCCATAAACAATGGTTTGAAACAGTGTTCATAATAAAGCTGAGTTTAAAACAAAAATCAGGGAGGTTGAAATCATTTCTGTTAGTAAGGCACAATGCGCCGCTGTATCTATGCAATTCATTCTGTCACAATAAAATGGTCCCAAACCTACCAGGAGCTGAGCCCTCTCAACCCCAACTGATGTCAGTGGGCACTAAAGGTGTTCAGTGGCTTATACCTTGTGAGTTAAGGCCCAGACAAGAGTTCATTAGAACCCTCACCTCTAACGATCTAGCTTGTGTGTGTGCAGCAATGCCGGCTATTGCAGAGAATGCCAGATGTGCTCAATGGAGAGTGAACACATTGCCCGTTAGAGACTGCAACCCACAGGGAAAAGGAATATTAATGCTATCACAGCTACTGCAGAGTCAGCATTAGCTTAGCTTGCTGCCGCAGGAGGTTCTCAGCTCAATGTAGGCACAGACTCATTATGCCCCCTAGACCAAGTCTATTATATACTGACCTTCAACACGTTAAACAGCCCAAAATGAGACAACAGAAATAGCCGAGGGAGTTGGAAATTTTTGACTATATTTTGTTCATCTCTAACATCTTCTCTCCTAGGCTCCCCAAGCATTTTGCAAACATTAAACATACAGGATAAGGAAATACAATTCACATGACAACTGGGAAAGATGAAGCACTTTAACCAAGTTACCAGAAGCTGGGAATAGAGCCCAGCAGTTCTGGCAACTGCTTGAAATTCAGGGTCTAATTTTTTTAACTGTGTTTTATTATTAAAATTCGCCTTCTGCTCCCTTTCTCAACACTGTCCTTCCAGCATGAAGGGAGGTGAAGGATTTGATTTTCTCAGCCCTTCAATGCTTAAGAGACCTGACAAAAGCAACACAAGGGAGTAGTCATCAGTGCAGGATCTAATCTCCTTGCTCTCTTAGATCAGCCTACGCTTCTCTGTGGGAGCTAGGATAACCTAGGGGAGATGACCACACAGCGGGATGATATACAATTTGCATTTCTGTGCAACCCCTGTTGCATTCTTGCTAAAAGAGCAACCCAGGTTTCTTTTAAAATCCCCAGTTTCCTCCATGAAAGGATTTATGCTTTGGAACAGAGAAACTGATGCACATCCCTGAATGCAGCCTGCATCTCCTTATACCTGGCACATCGGCAGGCCTCTTCCAACTTCAGCCAACGAAACGCCTGGTGCTCATCTGAGAGCTTGATCTCTGTGTTATAGTCATTCATTTCTGCCAGCCAGTAAATGACAGTTTTGGGCTTGCTTCTGACAATGTATTGCAGTTCTTTCTTAAACCCTTCAATGAGTGTGAACTGATTGGAATTGAGTCCGGCTTCTTCCTGCGTCTCCCGCAGGGCTGTCTGCAGGTCATCTTCACCTGGATCCACATGGCCTGCCAAGGGAGGGAGGGAGGAAGGAAAATAAGTCTCTGAGAAGAAAACAATGTTCTCATTGTGTTTGTTAAATTGGCAATAGGGAAAACACATCTGCAGTATCTGATTTGCCACAAACAATAGCCCTCGTGTCCTGTCTTCTACAGCCATCTGCTTTAGAGATTGGAGAACACAAATTGCATTTCAAAACTTTTTGTGCCCAGCTCAAGCACTTCCTTCCTTTTAGGATTTTAGGAATAGTGTTCATCACACGTATGCTGACGTTGCCAATCAGCACCCAGTGTCCTATCTGTGCTAGAAGTCTCCTCCTGAATTATTCTCCTTTCCAGTTCTGTGCTCCTATCTGCAAAGTCCCATATGAAAAGACCATATTTCTGTCTAAAAGGAGAACAGGAGTCATCCATGTTGTACCTTAAGTGGCTTGGGGCTTGATTCTGGACCTCTTAAGCAAGCAAGCCTAACAAAGTCAGTGGGAAATCTCACATCAATACACAGTACTCATCAAAAGAGCTGCAGAAGCAAGCCCACAGGCACCAAGGAGGAGGAAGTCAAGCTTGATGCTCATGAAAGACATGCACCAAGCACTTGATCATCAGTTTTCATATGCAATCATGAAATCTTTGGAGTAGTGAATAAAACTCGGCTTCCCTTCCCGCCCAGAGCCTCTAAGCAGTCAGGCCCCAAGACTGCTTCACAGCCTGGCAAAAGGGAGACTGATGAAGGAAGAAGGCTGCAATATCATCTTATGAGATGCCCCAAGCCACGCTGGTCTGGACCAGGTCAATGCTTGGGTGAAAGATCTCTAAGGAACTCCCGGCTTCGTGGGTCTATAGGAGATGTGCTTTCCTCTGAATGAGTAGTGAGCCAACGGTCTGCCAGGGCACTATGCGCAGGAAGTGCCATCCTTCATCCGAGACATTAATGCATTGGCCTGAGCCCTTACAATCATTAGCGCCTGGCATTTTTAATAAGGGAAGGGAGCTAACCCCACAGTCCAGGACCAACACAGCTACTTTCTGCCTACTGACACTTCCCCAGGCACTTAGAATCAGACTTGACATTCATCTTCACTTGTCCCAATTTTGGGGGTGTTAGTACAAAATAATGAATATCAGCGTAGTAATATTTCTAAGATGGTTTGGATGGAAGATGACACACAGCTGTAAGACTAATATCACTGCAGTGTTCTCTACTGGAGCAGCAGTACTGCAGGATGCAGTAGCTTAGAGTCAGCTTATTTCTCTTTCTCTCTACAAGCCCGGCCTCTAGCCAGACATGTTACTATTCTAGTTCTTTCCATTCACTCTGGATTCCTCAGCATCACAACCGTTATTTCATATCGGTATAAATATAACAGTCTCAAGTTGTTTTTACTTTCCCTGAGAAAAGCCAGATTTAGTTTTCTCATGAAAACTCCAGACAGGAACACAAATAGAACAAACCAGGCAAGCGCTCAGAAAAGCACATGCAACTTGGAGTCAAAGTAACTGTCTGAAGGAAAACACTGTTATGGACTTCATTCATTCATGGTTTAACTCTGTTGGTTTCAATAGAGGACTGTAAGGGGACGTGACTTCAGGATTGTTGCTCTACTTTTGCCTGGGTTCTGACAGTGTTTGAAATCACCACCATTAGTAGAGCTGGGCTGCAGGGAAAATGCAGTATTCTTCTGCACACCTGCTCCTTGTCTCTATGGGTGTGTCTAGACTACCTAGTTTTGTCGACAAAAGTGGACTTTTGTTGACAAAACTATCCCAGCGTCTACACTACCGCTGAGTTCAGTCGACATAACGTCGACAGAACTCAGCAGTTTTGTTGACGCTGGTATACCTCATTTTACGAGGCATAACACCTTCTGTCGCCAGAACTGTCGACAGAAGGTGTTATTGCCTGTAACACTGCGTCCAGACTACGGAGTTCTGTCGACAAAGCAGCTTGCTTTGTTGACAGAACTCAATGTGTCTGGACGCTCTTTGTCGACAGTATCTGTCGACAAAACTTCCGTCGACAAAACGCGGTAGTCTAGACGTACCCTATGTCAGGAAAGAAAACAGCTCTTACATCTGGAGCACAGGTGCCAACTTTCTTCTTTAGATGTGGGTGCTTCACACCGAGGCCCCATTCTCATGGCATCCCTTTCCCCAAAACCCCACCCATCTCTTCCTGCCCCCACTGCACCTCTGACCCGGATGTTCTTGCCCTTGCTTTACTCCCTTCCCCAACTACTCTCTGCCCTTGCTTTACCCCTTCTTGCCTCCCTCCCCCTTCACAGCACCTGCTGCCAAGCAGCTGACTTTTTTTCCTAGGGGTGGTCCAACTCCAGAACACCTGCAGAATAGGTGCCTACGATTTGGAGTCAATTCAGTTTTATAGCATGGGTCTATTCTGAAAAGTGACTAAAAATCAAAGAATTCCACTCTTGCAAGTTAATAACCCAGTGATTCCAGTTCAAACATGTTCAATTAATAAAGCAATAGATTCCTCCTCTAACTCCCAGCTGCATTTTTCTGGACAGGACCAAGGGCATTTTGGCAGCTGGAACTGAGTTAACAATGGTATTGATGTATGAGGCAGAACAGAATCTGGGTTCTGGCTGTATGAACCCAGCCAGATAACTCTGCAAGGCCAAGAAGAGATGCCGTTCAGAACATGTGTCAATGGGTAAACAGTTGGCCACTAGAAAAAGCAGCAGGTGCTACTTATTATGCAAGCCATCATCATTATTGGTCCAAGGTGAGTGATGAAGAACAGATTACACAGATTCAGTTTTCATTTCAGGGGAGCATGTGCAGCCTCCCAGCCAGCTATGGAGAGAAAGGTTCATTTCCTACCTGTGTTTTTAACCACAAGGTTAGAAAGGTTCCCAGGATGGTATGGACCTAAAAAAGTCCTAAATGGCTCCTGGCTATCGGAGATGCTTACATTTCCCTTTGTGAGACTGTGGCACCTAGAGTCAGCTGGAACGCTCGTGGCTAGCATCAGGGCTTTCTCAGTGAGGAACACTCAACCATGGAACTTTCTTTATGCAGTGGATGGTCACAGTCCACATGTGTTGCCTTTCCAGCACACTACAAATTCTACTTACCCATGGTTTTGGCTCAGAAGATATGGGGACCGGTTTGCATATCGGTTTCATTATATGAAGCATAGTTGCCAGACAAGTGCTAGCATTGTAAGTCCTCTTTATTTACTGCATATATGCTATGAGGGAGTTTTCAATAGTGCACTGTACAAAATAAATAATTCATAGAATCATAGAACACTAGAACTGGAAGGAACCTTGAGAGGTCATCGCGTCCAGTCCCCTGCCCTCATGGCAGGACCCAGTGCCGTCTAGACCATCCCTGATAGGAACTGATCTATGTGTGGTCAGCATGTGTAGGATGGTGTCTTCTGTCTGGGAGAGCCAGGAACTACCAAGACAAGTTGCATGGGCAGAGAGAGAGAGAGAGGGAATAAAATCTGACAGTTCAAAATGATTTCTGCACTGAATGCTCCCTCGCCAGGGTCTGAGGGAGGAACAACCAAATGCCTTCTCTGTCATTCACCTTGGGTGATGAGTAAGGCTACGATTTGTTCACCGCAGCCATGGATTCCACGACTTTACTGGACCTCTGTGACTTCTTATACTTCAGGAGGTGAGGCAGAACTGTGCATCCCTACCCTACCCCTGCTGGTTGGAACCAGGACCCTGCAGTCACAGCCCTGTGATTTCTGCTGAGAATTGCAGCTAGAGCCCATGAGACCCAGCTTCATGGCATCCTGCAGAGCGAGGGCTGTGAGCCCGCTGCAGCTACAGGAGCTGTGTCCCCACCATGGCAGGAGGGTTCTGCCTGCCCTTCCTCCCCACACCTAGCCCTGTCCCTCCCCCTGGTTATTTTTAGTGATGTCACAGCTCCTCTGAATTTCTGCTTAGTGTCCCATACTCATTCATGACTTACCTAAAATAACTGTGACAACATCTTAAGCTTAGTGATGAGCCTCTGTCCTACGTCTCAAGGCATGGCCAGTGCCTGTGTTCCATTTAATCATGCATGCTCTATTTGCCATAGAGCTTGGGCTAATTGCAAACCCAAGTCTGGCCACTGCCCAAGCTTCAATGCAGAATCAGGTGCATGGAGTGGAGTAAAACGTGGGTGACACAGCTGTGGGGCTAACACAGTTAACTGTCTGAACTGCCCCAAAAGACTGGTAGCCATTAAATTATTTGCTCTTAGAGGTCTTTACATTCTCTAATGTCTCTGGTTCCTCGATACAGTGAACATTAGTGTTGCTCTCTTAGCATCATTGGAACATCACCTTTTGGCGGGGTCCAGTGATGAGTGCCATAAGATGTCTGCAGAAGAAGATATTCAATATTGTCACCAATTTTTGAAGAGGAGGATCCTGACTGTAGCCTTCTGTAGATTATCAAGCCACACGCTCTTAGTGCCATGGTCCTCCTGCTAATTGCAACGAGAGCAAATATGAATGCAGAGGATTAATTGTTACAAACAGGAATAACAGCATTGTAATGTAGCTTCTATGGAGGAAAGTGCACTAGATATGAAGTTTGTGATGGGATACAGCCCTAATAGAAGTGAGAGAGAGAGAGCAAGGATTTGCTAAACAAACAAAAGATAACTTCCCAATTATCACCCCTAGTATCATTACCTCCTAGATACCAGCCTTTCCCCTCACCCTCCTTCTGTTCTAAATCTGATGTGTCAGTTTTAGAATGTGTTCACTCTTTTTCATTGTATTCCTTTGATATATATATGGTCATGCCAATTCTCTTCCGGAATTTGATCTGAGGAAGTGGGTCTGGCCCACTAAAGCTCATCACCTGATAAACCATCTTGTGAGTCTTTAAAGTGCTGCACAATCCTCTTTTGTTTCAGCAAGGTCAAACTAACACGGCTACATCTCTATTACTCATTACCCAAAGGGGAGAGACTTCCTTTCTGTACAGGATTCTAGGTAGGGAAGCCCTCTATAGAGCTCTTGTCTTCACCTCAGCTAGAGTCATAATTTTAGGACCAGTCATCTAGAGGAGATGCAGGTTGCACAGGTAAAAGCAGAGTAACTTTTCTACAGTGCTTTGAAGGAGTAGCCTGGGTCAGTGGCAGAGCAGGGAAGAAAACTCTGCCAATGTGATTTTATTGTGACTCTTGTACAACGTGGTGTGATTTTTAAAAGCTGCATGGAAATGTAAGATTCTCTGTGTTCATTCAAAAATTAAAATATAAGGCTATGTATACACTCGGGGCTTCTTGCGCAAGTAATATGCAAATGAGGCTAAGCATAGAATATCACCGAGCCTCATTTGCATACCTAATGAGCCACTATTTTTTTCAGAAGAGGCTCTTGCGCAAGAAGAACCCTCTTGCGCAATGCCATTACACCTATTACTTTTCAGGAAGAACAGTGTTGCACAAGAGGGTTTTTCTTGTGCAAGAAGGGGCACTGTAGATGCTCCTTCTTGCCCTAGAGCCTCTTCTGAAAAAAATGGTGGCTCATTAGGTATGCAAATGAGGCTCAGCAATATTCCACGCTTAGCCTCATTTGCATATTACTTGCACAAGAAGCCAGGAGTGTAGACATAGCCTAAGTGTCTAATCCTGTTAAAACAAAAGGAAAAACTATGTAGCATTTTAAAGACTAACAAGATGATTTAATAGGTGGTGAGCTTTTGTGGGCCAGACCCACTTCCTCACATCATATTCTGGAAGAGAATTGGCATGACCATATATACCAAGGAAAAAGGTTGGCTTAATCTTTGTATTCATACCTGTCAGTGTGAAAGAAGCTATTTGCATGTATATGCAACCGCACTTAAGTTGCGGTCCACGGCATGCACTGTATCATTGTGGCCCCTAGGGCTTCCAAAGTTGAGTAGCACTGCTCTAAGGTCATGTTTACACAGTAGGGCTAAAGCCGAATTAAGCTACTTAAGTTGAAATAGCTTATTTTGGCTTTTGGCTCTGGCTACACAGCAGGAAGTCCAAGAAAAAGCACACTTCCTCTGTCTTCTCTTACTCATCCCCCCAACTCCTCCCAGGGCCCCCCTTTCTCCCCTCCCGTCCCTCCACCCACCCCCAGGGCCCCCCTTCCTCCCC